TAAACAAAATCGCTGTGTCTAGTTGTGTTTACATGTTACGTGATTGGCCGAAGGAACCTAAAAGATTATGTAAAACGCTCGCTGATTGGTTGAATTGCTTTACTAGAGCCCTCTGTTGGCTACCATTAGAATGAGACGATTTTCAAATTACCATTTCTTCGTGAATCTCGCTTTGCCATCACTGGTAAACGCAATGGTAAAATGACCAATGGTAAATGCGTTACGATCGTATGTTAGTGAATCCGGCTCATGGAACGCTAAACGAAAGGTAGTTAGCTCAAGAAGACGTAGAATTCGCTGTATTACTACACAGATAAGCGAGTCAACCCTATATCACACAGTGGGACAGGAGTCTTCTGAGCAACATAGGAGTCTTCTAGGGAGTCTTCTGAGCAACATAGGGAGTCTTCTGAGCAACATAGGGAGTCTTCTGAGCAACATAGGAGTCTTCTGAGCAACATAGGGAGTCTTCTCAGTCTTCTGAGCAACATAGGGAGTCTTCTGAGCAACATAGGAGTCTTCTGAGCACATAGGGAGTCTCTGAGGAGTCTTCTGAGCAACATAGGAGTCTTCTGAGCAACATAGGGAGTCTTCTGAGCAACAGTCTTCTGAGCAACATAGGGAGTCTTCTGAGCAACATAAGGATAGGGAGTCTTCTGAGCAACATAGGGAGTCTTCTGAGCAACATAGGAGTCTTCTGAGCAACATAGGGAGTCTGAGAGCTTGAGTCTTCTGAGCAACATAGGAGTCTTCTGAGCAACATAGGAGTCTTCTGAGCAACATAGGGAGTGAGCAACAGGAGTCTTCTGAGCAACATAGGAGTCTTCTGAGCAACATAGGGAGTGAGAGGAGTCTTCTGAGCATAGGAGTCTTCTGAGCAACTTCTGAGCAACATAGGGAGTCTTCTGAGCAACACAGTTCTGAGCAACACAGTTCAGTAAGTAAAAATAACAATTTATGGAAATGGGGATTCCGGCACCAAGCACAAGTTAGGGAAATTAATGAGCGAAGTAAGGGTTCCCAGTCAGATTACACGGGCTTGTAAATTTCATGTCTACGTGAGAATACTGCAATGTGTGGGCTAGTGAGATAATTAAGTAGATTATTAAGATATATCGGCTAATTAAGTAAATGATTGCGCGGAGAACAGAAATAAAATCTTTTTTTTTTTTTTTTTTTTTTTTTTGTGAGGTACACTCGAAAATTCAGTAAAAACGGACTTAACGTTAAGACAAAATCGAGACTTACTCGAAGATTCAGTAAAAACGGACTTTACATTAAGACAAAATAAAGAGACATAAAATACAAGAAATAGGCGAGACTCGTGTGATATACGCTGGTCCAGTGACACAATAAGATATACGATATACAAATTCCCAGTGAACTTGTAGGCCTATTAAATCAGGTATGTATTATCGATACAAGATGCATACAAAGGCAAGCAGCACATCAGGAACGCAACGGGTCAGGGAGAAATGCGAAGGGTTAAAAAGGGTGATTCGTGATAAGGGAGAACAGGGAGACCAAGCGAACACACGGAGAAATGAAAAACCGAAGAAAAAAGATTTACGGGAAAGTGGAACCAAGGATAGGCGCGCGGGATTGTTAGGGAGCAGTGGGTGGCGGGGGAAGGGGAAAGGGTGGGGGGGGGGAGTGGAGGGAGATAATGTACGCAGTGCCCCGTCCTGCCCAAGGTCTCCCTCCCTACCCCTTCCATGCCCCCTCACAACCAGCCCCTTCCTTGCTTTACCCTCCCTCCTCCCCCTCCACCCTATCGGACTCCTCTACTGCACAAACCCTTTCCCCGACACCCTTCCCTCCACACTTGTGCAGGGTGGTGTGCTCCCCCAATACCCGCCTCCCCAATCCCTTGCCGCAGCCTCTCTGACCTTGCCGGAGTGGGAGTAACACTTAAACGTTTTGCCGAAACAGTGAGCGTAGGAGTGCGCGCGCAGCATTGTGAGACGAGGGCGAAGGTGAGCGAGACGACCGCAGGGAACTGGTCACTCCCGTGGCGCTAATGTCTTCATCAGGACTGCCCGGGCAACAAGGACTCACCTGCGCGCCTCCTCCCCCCCCTCCTCGCAGGCCCTCCCTCCCATTCTCTGCCCAGGGATACCTACTCCTCCCCCTCACCTCCCCTCTCCCCTGCAGGCCTCCCTCCCATTCCCTGCCCATGGATACCCTACTCCTCCTCCCTTCTCCCTACCCTGCAGGCCTCCCTCCCATTCTCTGCCCATGGATACCCTACTCCTCCCCTCCCCTCCTACCCTCAGGTCTCCCCATGGATACCCACTCCCTCTCCCTCTCCCCGCTTCTCCGTACGACCCCGACCACTAGGGCTAACACAACCGTAGTGAATGTCGTTATTTATTTACTCATTTTCCGTATAAGCAAGATAAAATGTACCCATTATGTTTTTGCATGCACAGTAGACGAGTCCTAATATGGCCTGCTATCAAGCCTTCCCTCCCTGCGTTTGTTTTTAGAATTTGTTATGTTAGCCATCCTTTTTTTTCTACTTCTCCTCTCTCTCTCTGTTGCTTCGGCGTTTCCTATTTACCTCTTATTTACTTTTTATCAAATATTCTTCTCTCCCTACCGCTAAGGATCTCCCGGGAGGCACGACGCTGCCCTCGTTAAAATCCTCAGGGTAAATGATCGGCTTTTATACACCGTCGCGCCACGGAATAAAAGATCCATTCGAAAGCCATCAGGAACGAGAGTCGATATTTCAAGCAAACGATCGAGCCACAGGAATGATCTTACCTCGGAAATGATTAATTAAAAGGGACCCAGACGTCTTACTAGTCCTCTTACTAGTCCTCGGAAGGCTGTCTGTGCACAAGACTCACCAGGTCTTCATTCACCGACACGATGCCTATCTGGGAGTGAGACATTGCTTGGGCAGTTTGCTATTAAAATGCCTGATTAACCATGCTTGTAACTTTCAAAAGCACTACTTTATTAAGAGGGCCACGAGACATGTAACTGCTTTCATTTAAGTTACTGATACTCTTGTTAAATTATTGAATAATCATGAAATTCTTTTAGGGTAACTGACTACTTAGATAATAACCTAGAGTCTGTCTGTGCAAGTGAGTAGAATAACAATAAGTGTGTAGACTGGGCGGGTTGCTTCTCGGACAACTAAGCAAGTGATCGAGAGGATATTCATCTAGCACATAGTCTGTTTGTGCGAATAACTGACCGAAAGAGCTAATCAGGCAGGTCTGTGGCTGACTGAATACGCAGTTGCTCTGCTAGATGTTTGCCTGACTAAGTGGTTGAATAACTGGTGTTGCTGACTGGGTGAAAAAAACTGGCCTTTGGGTTGTTTGCACGACTGACTGGATGAGTAACTGAGTCGCTGACTGCAAGTAAGTGACTGGTTGACTGCCTGTACCACCCTGGTCTCCCCTGATCTATCCCGGTGACCGAGAGTATCGTATTAACTTGAATAGAAACTCGGGTTGGACACCTAGGGGTCGGCATCCGCGAGGACTGCGGAGGAAACTCGCCCTTAAACCGCGTATACCCAAGGCCGACGCTCCGCCCGCGTGTCAGGGCATGAGTGGCAGTGGGACGGCAAGCGAAAATGAGCTCTGCGCGAGAGCGGCGTACGGTTCAGGCCGAGATGGAGTAGATGAAGATGTCACTGGCAGACCACCCAGAACGCAGCCTCCCAGCACAAGGGGTATTCACTGAAAAAAAGCTGAAACAGTCTGGGAAACATTTCATACGATAAAGGCAGCCCTAACCTATGCGTTCCTATTTAACTTTACATTGAAAATTGTGAGAATGTAAGCTCGTGTTCTTGTGGCAGCCTCGTGATAGTGGTTCCTGTCTCACACGCTCGGGGATTTTAAAGTCCTTCATTTGCATACTGAGGTAATGAAGGACGGGCAAAATTCGTGGCGTAGCATTCAGCTTTTTAACATTTCTCCCACAGCCCGAGGGCGAATGTGAGTCATCCACCACTTGCACTTATCGACCACCGCATTAGTACCGACCACCTTGACCGCTGCGACCACCGGACCTCTAAAACGAGCCTATTTATTGGTCCTTTCGCTCCCCCCCCCTCATCTCCCTACGCACCTCTCAGACGAGAATCGGTTTTAACAGCTTCGGAGTTTAACTGTAGCCTTACCTATTGACGGCGAAGAAATCTGGTGCGGTGGAATTGTGGGATCATATATTACTTCGTACCTTCATGGGGTGCCAAGATCCCCACGCATCCCCCATACCTGCGGCTCTGTCTGTCTGTACAAAGGACGTACATACGGCACCCAGCCTCGGTGATAAGAGCAGGGAGTTCTCAGCAAGTATAATTAAAACGACGTTAAGACTCCCGAGATCGAGGTATGACTGCAATGACACGAGATGTTTTCCTAAACTTTTATTTACAGGGAACTTGTAAAGCGAGACGCCTGTTATTGTAATATATCACGAGTGCTGTCTGCTAGGTGGTCCGTCTCTGTACGTGCGAGTGTTTGTGTGTGTGCCCCTTTTTGCATACCGCGGCCGTGTTGACAATGGGCCTCAAGAGTTGCTCCTTGCATGTAATATTTGAAGAAAAAGGAAACACGGTTGTAACAGAGTTTCTGTCAGTTGGGTCTAAGGCGCCGTGCCCGCCTGACTGTGCCTAGGTGCCCAAGTCCGAATTAATTTCGTCGTTTAAATAATGAATACATACGTCTTGAACTCAGCCTGATAATTCATGCCATCCGAGCTATACTCCCCTCACAAGTCGGAGGGCATCTTGCCATCAGGAGTACCGAATGTTCTGCAAGTGTCTTTACAGTTTTGAAATTATCGTAGTTCTGGCGGTGCCACTTGTGCGGCCGCAAGGTGGGTGGCCCGCACTCAGGCGGCCCGTTACCATGACGACGCTCGCCAGCCAATCAGCAGCGGCGGGGGGCGGAGTCCTGGCTAGCCACTCCCTCGAGTATCGGGGCACAACATAACGTTGTGCGGCGAAATCGTTTAGTTGACGCTGGTTGCTCTTGTGGAATGGATTGTCGTGTTACTGGTGTTTTGAGTGCAGTGTAGTGAGAGTGTCAAGTGTCATGTGGCAGGGATGGGGGCCTCCGCCCCCCATGCTATAACGTGGTCGCCCACTGTGTCTTGCGAAGGTGTAGCCGCTACAGACGCGGCTCTACAGTGAATTGTGGAGTGTGACATGGCCATCGCCGTGGGAGGTGAAGAAAGTGTTGGCGAGGGCGGCGTGTGGGCGTCCGGGGCCCGCCCGCATGAAGACTTGTGTACTAGAACTAGCTGGGCAGACGCCCGCACCGCCCTCGCCCATATTAACAAGGTAAGAAGAAAGTAAAGTGCGAGGGAAGGAGAGTGGCTGCGTGCGCCCGCCAGGCGAGATCAGCGACCCTGAGAGGAGGAGGCCGAGGTGTGCGGGTCGTGGCGCGTATGGGGGAACACGGGGTGCCGTAGGGGGGGGGGGGGAGGGCGCTGCGAGGGCCTCCCTAGGGAATATACGCAAGGAGTTTTCACGCAGGGTACTGTAGGTCCTCATTTGACCCCGGTACGCTGGGCCGCCGCCGAGCACAAGATCTCAGTGGCCGCGCTCACTCTCTCTCTCTCTCTCTCCCGTCCCAGCGTATGTTTGTGGCGCCAGGCTTGCTCGAGCACGCTGCCACCTCCCCCGCCCGCGCCCCCTCCCGGCCCCTCCCCGCCCTCCTCCTCCCCTCTCCATCTCGCTTTGCTCTTTTCTCTCGCCTTCCCCTTCTTTCTCTTCTCCCCCGCCTACCCCATCGTCATTATCGGCATCACTATCGTCTACGCTATCATCATAATCATCACTATCATCATCACCATCATCATCATCATCATCACCACCACCATCACCAATTCTCTCTCTTTCTCCTCTTCTCCTCTCTTTCTCCTCTTCCTCCTCTTCTTCCTCTTCCTCTTCCTCCACTCCTTTTCTTCTCCTCCTCCTCTTCCGCCTCCTCTGCTTTTTTTCCTCCTCCTCCTCCTCTTTATCTTCCTCCTCCTCCTCTTCCTCCTCCTCCTCCTCCTCCTCCTCCTGTGTCACTAAACCCCCTCCATTCCCCACCCTTCCTATTTCCTCTTACGCTAGAAATTACGTAATTCCATATCTACTCAATTATCTAATCAATTGTCTTAATAGAAATGCCAATGCTCTTCCTATTCTTATATTCTTGAGGTAAATAATGAAAAAAAAATGTCTATCTGATACCTTACCATTTCTACCAGTTCAAAAAAAGAAAAATAAATTAATTGATAATAAATAGATAAATAGATAGATAAATAGAATAAAATAAAGAAAAAGGGTTGAAAATACATTCCATATTTTGTATAAGACAAACCCTATGTCATGCTTTAAAAACCCTTATAATATAGACATAAATGTGGACATCCACACACAGGTTAATATTGTGTGTCATGTGTAGGCCTATAGTACTTTGAACCTTGGAGAATTCAATATATGTTGTAACTACACGTAAACATGTCATGTTGGTATGGATATTCTAAAGCAGGATTGAATTTGATGCACTTATGTTGAAAAAAAACAGCAACAACAACAACAACAACAGATTAATAAAGATTATTTTTATGAATAGATAATATGCTTACAAGACGAGAGAGAGAGAGAGGGGGAAGGGAGAGGGAGAGGGAGAGGGAGGGGAGGAAGAGAGGGAGAAGGAAATGGGTGGAGGAGGAGGGGGAAGGAGAAGAGGAAGAGAGAGAGGGAGAAGGAAAGAGATATGAAAGAAGATAGTGGGAAGTGGAAAGAGAAGAGAAGAGATGTGAAGAGTAAAGAGAAAGAGAAGTGAGGAAAGATTAAATGGAGGGAGAGAGAGAAATGGAGAGATCAGAAAGAAAGAGCGAAAAGATTTGGATAACGAAAGAGAAGAAAATAGAGGAGAATGATAGATGGAATATAGATAGAGAGGTTAGGAAATGAAGAAAGATGAGAATTAATATAGTTAGATAAGAGATGAAAGAATGAGAAATGAAAGAGAGAGATTAGAGGGAGAGAGAGAGAGAGATGAGAGGAGGAGGAGAGATGAGAGAGAGAGAGATAGAGAAGAGATGAGAGGGGAGAGAAGAGAGAGAGAGATGAGAGAGAGAGAGAGAGAGAGAGAGAGATGAGAGGGGGAAAGAGAGAGAGAGATGAGAGGAGAGAGAGAGAGAGAGATGAGAGGGAGAAGAGAGAGAGAGAGATGAGGGGAGAGAGAGAGAGATATGAGAGGGAGAGAGAGATAGATGAAGAAGGGGAGAGAGAGAGAGAGAGGGAGAGAGGAGATAGAGATGAGAGGGAGAGAGAGAGAGAGAGAGATGAGAGGGGAGAGAGAGAGAGAGAGATGAGAGAGAGAGAGGAGAGATGAGAGAGGGAGAGAGAGAGAGAGAGAGAGAGAGAGAGAGAGAGAGAGAGAGAGAGAGAGAGATTGTCCTAACACACTGCCACCTTTCTCCCCCCACCCCCCCCGCCTCTACTCCTTTCTCCACTTCCTATCTCTTTACTCTTTTGTTTCTCATTTTCATGTCAGGGGCGGGGTGGGGTAGGGGGTTGACTCACTGATCCCCTAAATCTTCTTAAAAGGAGAAATTTACACACACACACACACACACACACACACACACACACACACACACACACACACACACACACACACACACACACACACACACACACACACACACACAACACACCACACATGTCTTTCTACATAAGTACATGCGTACATACTTGCATGGATACATACATAGGCCTACATATATACATACGCCTAAATAACTACATGCAAATATACGTACAGACATACATAGATACATGCACACATACGTACACACACGCGTGCGCGCGTATCCACTTCCAGGGCAGTAACCACATAATATCCATTTAGCCATATCGCATTTCCATTAAAAAAAAAAAAAAAAAAAAAATATTGCAACCCATCACCAACATGGCAGGTGTCAGGCATCCATCAGGTAGACCTCCATTTTTTTTCTCTCTTTTTTTCTTTCATACCCGTTTCCTCGGTCTCCTAATTCGCCATAATTTCCCCTAAACAAAGGGCCAGCGAGCCGTCGGCTTCTCGCTCTTATCGCTATAGTCTGGCCGAGCGTATTTAGGGGTTTAACAGCTGGTCTATCAGCTGGGCAGGACTCCATGATCAGAGTACATGCTGGATGGGTAATGGAATGCTTCGGCCGCCGTAATGTGTCTTCTGAGTATGATGATCCGAAGCGACGGATCTATAAATATGGCTGATGGGGATGGGGAGTGGGGGTGGGGGGAAGGGGGGAGGGGAAAGGGAAAAGGGGAGGGGTGGGAAGAAAGGGGAGGAAAGGGGAGGGGAGGGGTGGGGAAGGAAGGGGAATGGGGAGAAAGGGGAGGATGGGGGGGGGGGGGTGGGGAGCTGGGTGGTGAAGGGAAAGGGAGGACAGGGGAGGGGTGGGGGTGGGGAGAAGGGGGAGGGGAGGGTGGGGGTGTGAAGGGGAAGGAAGGGGAGGGGTGGGGGAATTGAAGGGGAGGGAAGGGGTGGGGAACGGGTAGGGTTGTAAAGGGGAGGGGGTGGAGGATTGCAGGTGAAAGGGAGGGAAGGTGGTTCTAAGGAGGGGGAGGTGAAGGGGAAGGAGGGACTGGGAGAAGGTATGAAAGGAGGGGGGATAGGGAAAGAAGGGGGAAGGGGGAAGATGCAAGAGGAAATAGAGTGAAGAGAGTAGTAAGTAGGAGGAGAAGGTGCAAAAGGAAGATGAGAAAGGGTAGGGGAAAGGGTTCTCTAAGGGGATACTGGGGGGGGGGGAGGGATGGGGGAAGGTGTGAAATGAGGAGGGATAGGGTAGGGGGAGAGAGGGGTCGAGTGTAAGAGGGAGCAGGGGAGGGGGTGATGGAGGAGGAAGAGGGGAGGGGAGGGGGGGGGAGGTGAAGAAGAGAGCGAGGGATGAGCTAAAAATAGTTGTAAGTTAGTAGGAGTACTGGTATTAGTAGTCTTGAGAAGTCGAGTTTGTAGTAATAGTGAGTGGCAGTAGTGAGTAAGTAATTGTAGTAGTCAGTAGTAGTAGTAGTTAGTAGTAGTAGTAGTAGTAGTAGTAGTAGTAGTAGTAGTAGTAAGTAGTAGTGAGTAGTAGTAGTAGTAGTAGTGTAGTAGTGAGTTAGGCAGCAGCAGCAGAAGCAGTAAGTAGTAATAGTAGTAGCAGCCTAGGATTTACAATAATATTACTGGTAGCACTAGTACAGGAATTAGTTGTATTGTACAACACAAGTAAATGTAGTATTAGCATTGATAGGTATGGAATGGTTGTGAGGTAAAACGAACAGAAATTAAACAAAAAGAAAAATGAAAAAAAATGTGAGAAAGAGAGTATCAGTTTTTTTTTACCATTCTCTCGATTTCCTCCCTCTCCCTCCCTCTGTTTTCTCTCTCCCTCTCACTCTGTCCCTCTCTCCGTCTCCTTCGCGTCTCTCCGTCTTCCGTGCCCCTTTCCTCCCCCTTTCCTCCTCCTTCTCGTCTCGCCATGCCCCTCTCCCCTTCTTCCCCTTCCCCCTCCGGTCTCCTGTGCCCCTTTCTCCCCTTTCCTGCCTCCACCCCTCCGCCTCGTCTCCCGTGCCCCTTTCCCTTTCCTTGCCTCCCTCCCCTCGTCTCCCGTGCCCCTTTCTCCCCTTTTCCCCTCCTCCTTCAGTGTCGTCTCCGTGCCCCTTTCTCCCCTTTTCCCTTCCTCCTCCGTCGTCTCCCGTGCCCCTTTCTGCCCCCTTCCCGCTCCCCGTCCTTGCCCCTTTTCTCCCCTTTTCCCCCCCCCTCCGTCTCGTCTCCCGTGCCCCTTCTCCCCTCTCCCTCGTCTCCCGTGCCCTCCTTCTCCCTCTTCCTCCGGTCTCGTCCCCGTGCCCCTTTCTCCCCTTTCTCCCCCCCCTCCGCCTCGTCTCCCGTGGCCCTTCTCCCCCTCTTCCCTCCGCCTCGTCTCCCGTGCCCCTTTCTCCCTTCTCCCCTCCCCCCTCGCCTCGTCTCCCGTGCCCCTTTCTCCCTTTACCCCTTCCCCTCCGCCTCGTCTCCCTGTGCCCCTTTCCTCCTCTCCGCCTCGTTCCCGTGCCCCTTTCTCCCCCTTTCCCTCCTTCTCCGCCTCGTCTCCCGTGCCCCTTTCTCCCCCTTTTCCCCTCCTCCTCCGCCTCGTCTCCCGTGCCCCTTTCTTCCCACCCCCTCCGCCTCAGCCTCCCGTTGCCCCTCTTCTCCCGTGCCCTTTTCCCCTTTCCGCCTCCCCCTCCGTCTCGTCTCCCGTGCCCCTTTCTCCCCTTTTCCCCCTCCCCCTCCGTCTCGTCTCCCGTGCCCCTTTCTC